GTGACGAGGTGTTGGAGAGTGTGACGAGGTGTTAGAGAGTGTGACGAGGTGTGGGAGGGTGTGACGAGGTGTGAGAGGGTGTGACGAGGTGTTAGAGGGTGTGACGAGGTGTTTGAGGGTGTGACGAGGTGTTAGAGGGTGTGACGACTTGTGAGAGAGTGTGAAGAGGTCTGAGAGAGTGTGAAGAGGTGAGTGTGACGAGGTGTGAGAGAGTGTGACGAGGTGTGAGAGAGTGTGACGAGGTGTGAGAGGGTGTGAAGAGGTGTGAGAGATTGTGACGAGGTGTGAGAGGGTGTGACGAGGTGTGAGAGGGTGTGACGAGGTGTGAGAGATTGTGACGAGGTGTGAGAGGGTGTGACGAGGTGTGAGAGATTGTGACGAGGTGTGAGAGGGTGTGACGAGGTGTCAGAGAGTGTGACGAGGTGTGAGAGAGTGTGACGAGGTGTGAGAGAGTGACGCGGTGTGAGAGAGTGTGATGAGGTGTTAGAGAGTGTGACGAGGTGTTAGAGTGTGTGACAAGGTGTGAGAGAGTGTGACGAGGTGTGGGAGGGTGTGACGAGGTGTGAGAGGATGTGACGAGGTGTGAGAGAGTGTGACGAGGTGTGAGAGAGTGTGACGAGGTGAGTGTGACGAGGTGTGAGAGAGTGTGACGAGGTGTGAGAGAGTGTGACGAGGTGTGAGAGGGTGTGAAGAGGTGTGAGAGATTGTGACGAGGTGTGAGAGGGTGTGACGAGGTGTGAGAGGGTGTGACGAGGTATGAGAGATTGTGACGAGGTGTGAGAGGGTGTGACGAGGTGTGAGAGATTGTGACGAGGTGTGAGAGGGTGTGACGAGGTGTCAGAGAGTGTGACGAGGTGTGAGAGAGTGTGACGAGGTGTGAGAGAGTGTGACGAGGTGTTAGAGTGTGTGACGAGGTGTGAGAGAGTGTGACGAGGTGTGGGAGGGTGTGACGAGGTGTGAGAGGATGTGACGAGGTGTGAGAGAGTGTGACGAGGTGTGAGAGAGTGTGACGAGGTGAGTGTGACGAGGTGTTAGAGGGTGTGACGAGGTGTTAGAGAGTGTGACGAGGTGTTAGAGGGGGTGACGAGGTGTGAGAGATTGTGACGAGGTGTGAGAGAATGTGACGAGGTGTTAGAGGGGGTGACGAGGTGTGGGAGGGTGTGACGAGGTGTGAGAGGATGTGACGAGGTGTGAGAGATTGTGACGAGGTGTGAGAGAGTGTGACGAGGTGTTAGAGGGGGTGACGAGGTGTGGGAGGGTGTGACGAGGTGTGAGAGGATGTGACGAGGTGTGAGAGGGTGTGACGAGGTGTGAGAGATTGTGACGAGGTGTGAGAGAGTTTGATAAGGTGTCAGAGAGTGTGACGAGGTGTGAGAGAGTGTGATAAGGTGTTAGAGGGGGTGACGAGGTGTGAGAGGGTGTGACGAGGTGTGAGAGGGTGTGACGAGGTGTGAGAGAGTGTGACGAGGTGTGAGAGAGTGTCACGAGGTGTTAGAGAGTGTGACGAGGTGTGGGAGGGTGTGACGAGGTGTGAGAGGATGTGACGAGGTGTGAGAGAGTGTGACGAGGTGTGAGAGAGTGTGACGAGGTGAGTGTGACGAGGTGTTAGAGGGTGTGACGAGGTGTGAGAGGATGTGACGAGGTGTGAGAGAGTGTGACGAGGTGTGAGAGAGTGTGACGAGGTGAGTGTGACGAGGTGTTAGAGGGTGTGACGAGGTGTTAGAGAGTGTGACGAGGTGTGGGAGGGTGTGACGAGGTGTGAGAGGATGTGACGAGGTGTGAGACAGTGTGACGAGGTGTGAGAGAGTGTGACGAGGTGAGTGTGACGAGGTGTTAGAGGGTGTGACGAGGTGTGAGAGAGTGTGACGAGGTGTGAGAGAGTGTGACGAGGTGAGTGTGACGAGGTGTGAGAGAGTGTGACGAGGTGTGAGAGAGTGTGACGAGGTGTGAGAGAGTGTGACGAGGTGTTGGAGGGTGTGACGAGGTGTGAGAGGGTGTGACGAGGTGTGAGAGAGTGTGACGAGGTGAGAGAGTGTGACGAGGTGTGAGAGGGTGTGACGAGGTGTGAGAGAGTGTGACGAGGTGTGAGAGGAGCACAAGGAGAACGTGTCTCTCTTCGCATGCCTCCAGACCGATGGTGAGTGTTGTGTGTGTGACGAGATGAGTGTTGTGTGTGTGACGAGGTGCGTGTGAGAGGGAGTGATGGGTGAGTTACTAGGTGTGTGTGTGTGTGATGTGGTGTGTGTGTGTGAAGCCTTGAATAGCTGTACCGGAGGAATTTCCCTCCGGTACAGATACAATGGGAGGCTGATTGATGCCCGGGTGCGGTCAAGGGATGGCCTCCCTATTGCTCAACCACGTTATGTATGACGATGATCTGGTAAATGCTGCTCACTCAGAGGAAGAGGTGGAGGTGCTGCTGCTGAACCTGGAGCTTGCCACTAAGAGGTGGGGCCTTACCATCAGCCCCACCAAAACCTAAGCAAAAGCCTGGGTATTGTGTACCATCGGACACTCCACCACTGTTCACCTTGGGGTGCGACAGGGATGTCCTCTGGCTCCCACATTACTTAACATCTATTTCGACGACGTAGTTCGTGAAGCCTTCCATGGGTGTGCCGGAGGAATTTCCATCAGGTTCAGATGCAATGGGAGGCTGATCGATGCCCGGGTGTGGTCAATAAATAGGTCTTTATTGGTCAACCACGTTATGTATGCCGATGATCTGGTAATTGCAGCTCACTCAGAGGAGGAGTTGGAGACGCTGTTGCAGCCCCACGAAAACCTAAGCACCTGCCTGGGTATTTTGTACCATCGGGCACTCCACCCCCACAACTCACAATTGGTGATGGCGCAGTTGTGGAGAGAGTGGAGAGTTTCCCATACCTGGGCGGTGTGCTTATGACCGGCTCTGGTTTGACAGTAGAGGTCTCACTCGGAATCAGTCGAGCGGCAATATCTTTTCATAGGTTGCGTAACGCTGTGTGGAAGCTACCTGGTCTGTCACTCCGCACGAAGCTTCGGGTCTTCTCGGACACAGTCATGCCCTCCCTTCTCTACGCTTGCGAAACGTGGACCCCCCTAATGGAGCATCTTCGCCGGTTAGAAACATTTAGGCTAGCCTGCCTACGATCCATCCTGGGTTTAACCAGGCTGGATTGTGTGAGGAGCTCACAAATCCTTGAAAGATCTGGGTAGGGTCCCATCGGTGAGCTCCTCCGGCAGGCAAGGCTGCGATGGCTGGGTCATGTAGCCCGCATGCCCAGCCACCGCATGCCGAAGCAGCTTTTGTTCGGCCGGATCGAGGGGGCTAAACGGGCGCGGCACGGGCTAGAGAAGAGATGGAGTGATGTGGTACAGGAGGACGTGGAGCTGAGTGGACTTGCCGATGACTGGTACCAGCGGTGTCAAGATCGGCCTCTGTGGAGGAGGCTCGTGAAGGACGCTACTGGGCAGTTGGAGGCAGTCGCCCTCCAACAACAACGGAGGGCGGAGGAGCGACGCTCACAACAACGAGCAGAGCGCCGGGTGGCTAAAGCACAGCAGGTTGGCACAGTAGGGGGCACAGGTGGTGCATCAGCCACTCATCTCAGTCAGTCGACCCGTGGCACCTGGGTCTGCCCCGTGACCCCCTGCCAGCGGGCGTTCGACACTTCACGTGGCCTCAAGGTGCACATGGCCTGGCACAAGCGTCGTGCTGACTTCACCGCCACTTAGTGGCGAATGGCGGTTGTTGTTGTTCTTGTTGTGTGAGAGTGATGAGGTGTGTGATGAGGTGTGTGTCCATGGGGAGCGGTAGTGTAGCGGTTAGCGCTACGCTGCGCTATGAACCCGGAGACCCAAGTTCGATTCCCGCTCACGGCCAACACCGCCAGTGACGATTATCTGAACCGGTCCCGGGCCTCCCCTAGGTCGACTCAGCCTCAAATGAGTTACCCGGTGCTGTGTTGTGTAGTAAAACATCGCCACTGGGGAGACAAAGGCGGCCGGGCGTGGTGCTGGCCACCCACCCCCTCTGTGTGTGCTCACAGTGCCGGTAGCCTTCACAGGTGCTGCTGCTACTCGCTAACAGCACTTGCCCCTACAGTCTGTGAGAGGCTACACGGGGGAGCTTTGTGTGTGAGCTGCTCGCTAACAGCACTTGCCCCTACAGTCTGTGAGAGGCTACACGGGGGAGCTTTGTCTGTGTGTGAGCTGCTACACACTAACAGCACTTGCCCCTACAGCCTGTGAGAGGCTACACGGGGGAGCTTTGTGTGTGAGCTGCTCGCTAACAGCACTTGCCCCTACAGCCTGTGAGAGGCTACACGGGGGATCTTTGTCTGTGTCTGTGTGTGAGCTGCTCGCTAACAGCACTTGCCCCTACAGTCTGTGAGAGGCTACACGGGGGAGCTTTGTCTGTGTGTGAGCTGCTACACACTAACAGCACTTGCCCCTACAGCCTGTGAGAGGCTACACGGGGGAGCTTTGTGTGTGAGCTGCTCGCTAACAGCACTTGCCCCTACAGCCTGTGAGAGGCTACACGGGGGATCTTTGTCTGTGTCTGTGTGTGAGCTGCTACACGCTAACAGCACTTGCCCCTACAGCCTGTGAGAGGCTACACGGGGTTGCTTTGTCTGTGTATGTGTGTGAGCTGCTACACGCTAACAGCACTTGCCCCTACAGCCTGTGAGAGGCTACACGGGGTTGCTTTGTCTGTGTGTGAGCTACTCGCTAACAGGACTTGCCCCTACTGTCTGTTAGAGGCTGTAGGGGCAGCACTTGCCCCTACAGCCTGTTAGAGGCTACACGGGGGAGCTTTGTCTGTTTGTGTTGCTGCTACTCGCTAACAGCACTTGCCCCTACAGCCTGTGAGAGGCTACACGGGGGATCTTTGTCTGTGTGTGAGCTGCTCGCTAACAGCACTTGCCCCTACAGCCTGTTAGAGGCTGTAGGGGCAGCACTTGCCCCTACAGCCTGTGAGAGGCTACACGGGGTTGCTTTGTCTGTGTGCCCGGCAGTGTCCCTCGAGTTGCTCCGCGTGGCTGTGGAGTTCCTGCGGGGCGGAGTGAAGACTCCTCGCAAATACGAGAGTGCAGCCCGTGAGACCCCCACCTCGTCACACACATACCACCTCGTCACACACATACCACCTCGTCACACACCACCTCGTCACACACACACACCACCTCGTCACACACACACCACCTCGTCACACACACATACACCACCTCATCACACACACACCACCTCGTCACACACACATACACCACCTCATCACACACCACCTCGTGACACACACACCACCTCGTCACACACACATACACCACCTCATCACACACCACCTCGTCACACACCACCTCGTCACACACCACCTCGTCACACACACACCTCCTCGTCACACACACACACACCACCTCATCACACACACACCACCTCGTCACACACCACCTCGTCACACCACCTCGGCACACACACACCACCTCGTCACACACACACACACCACCTCGTCACACACACACACACCTCGTCACACACCACCTCGTCACACACACACACACCTCGTCACACACACACACCACCTCGTCACACACACACACACCACCTCGTCACACACACATACACCACCTCGTCACACACACACACAAACCACCTCGTCACACACACACCACCTCGTCACACACACACCACCTCGTCACACACACCACCTCGTCACACACACACACACACACCACCTCGTCACACACACCACCTCGTCACACACACACACCTCGTCACACACCACCTCGTCACACACACACACCTCGTCACACACACACCACCTCGTCACACACACACACCACCTCGTCACACACACACCACCTCGTCACACACACACACACCACCTCGTCACACACACCACCTCGTCACACACACACCACCTCGTCACACACACACCACCTCGTCACACACACACCACCTCGTCACACACACACACACCACCTCGTCACACACACACACACCACCTCGTCACACACACACACCACCTCGTCACACACACACACCACCTCGTCACACACACACCACCTCGTCACACACACACACCACCTCGTCACACACACACCACCTCGTCACACACACCACCTCGTCACACACACACCTCGTCACACACCACCTCGTCACACACACACCTCGTCACACACACACACACCACCTCGTCACACACACCACCTCGTCACACACACACACCACCTCGTCACACACACACACCACCTCGTCACACACACACCACCTCGTCACACACACACACCACCTCGTCACACACACACACACACACACACCTCGTCACACACCACCTCGTCACACACACACCTCGTCACACACACACCACCTCGTCACACACACACCACCTCGTCACACACACACCACCTCGTCACACACACACACCACCTCGTCACACACCACCTCGTCACACACCACCTCGTCACACACACCACCTCGTCACACACACCACCTCGTCACACACACACACACCACCTTGTCACACACACACACCACCTCGTCACACACACACCACCTCGTCACACACTACCTCGTAACACACGCACACACACACCACCTCGTCACGCACACAACACCTCGTCACACACCACCTCGTTACACACACACACCACCTCGTCACACACCACCTCGTCACACACACACCACCTCGTTACACACACCACCTCGTCACACACCACCTCGTCACACACACACACCACCTCGTCACACACACACATCACCTCGTCACACACACACCACCTCGTCACAGACACACCACTTCGTCACACACCCACACACCACCTCGTCACACACCACCTCGTAACACACACACCACCTCATCACACACACACCACCTCGTCACACACACCACCTCGTCACACACCACCTCATCACACACACCACCTCGTCACACACCCACACACCACCTCGTCACAAACACACCACCTCGTCACAAACACACACACACACACCACCACCTCGTCACACACACCACCTCGTCATACACCACCTCGTCATACCCCACCTCGTCACACACACACAACCTGGTCACACACCACCTCGTCACACACACACACCACCTCGTCACACACCACCTCGTCACAAACACACACACCACCTCGTCACACACCACCTCGTCACACACACACACACACACCACCTCGTCACACACCACCTCGTCACACACCACCTCGTCACACACACACCACCTCGTCACACACACCACCTCGTCACACACCACCTCGTCACACACACACACCTAGTCACACACACCACCTCGTCACACACACCACCTCGTCACACACCACCTCGTCACACACACACCTCGTCACACACACACCACCTCGTCACACACACACCACCTCGTCACACACACACACCACCTCGTCACACACACACACCACCTCGTCACACACCACCTCGTCACACACCACCTCGTCACACACACCACCTCGTCACACACCACCTCGTCACACACACACACCACCTTGTCACACACACACACCACCTCGTCACACACACACACCACCTCGTCACACACTACCTCGTAACACACGCACACACACACCACCTCGTCACGCACACAACACCTCGTCACACACCACCTCGTTACACACACACACCACCTCGTCACACACCACCTCGTCACACACACACCACCTCGTTACACACACCACCTCGTCACACACCACCTCGTCACACACACACACACCACCTCGTCACACACACACACCACCTCGTCACACACACACCACCTCGTCACAGACACACCACTTCGTCACACACCCACACACCACCTCGTCACACACCACCTCGTAACACACACACCACCTCATCACACACACACACCACCTCGTCACACACACCACCTCGTCACACACCACCTCATCACACACACCACCTCGTCACACACCCACACACCACCTCGTCACAAACACACCACCTCGTCACAAACACACACACACACACACACACCACCACCTCGTCACACACACCACCTCGTCATACACCACCTCGTCATACCCCACCTCGTCACACACACACAACCTGGTCACACACCACCTCGTCACACACACACACCACCTCGTCACACACCACCTCGTCACAAACACACACACCACCTCGTCACACACCACCTCGTCACACACACACACACACACCACCTCGTCACACACCACCTCGTCACACACCACCTCGTCACACACACACCACCTCGTCACACACACCACCTCGTCACACACCACCTCGTCACACACACACACCTAGTCACACACACACACCACCTCGTCACACACACCACCTCGTCACACACCACCTCGTCACACACACACCTCGTCACACACACACACCACCTCGTCACACACACACACACACCACCTCGTCACACACACATACACCACCTCGTCACACACACACACACACAAACCACCTCGTCACACACACCACCTCGTCACACACACACCACCTCGTCACACACACCACCTCGTCACACACACACACCACCTCGTCACACACACCACCTCGTCACACACACACACCTCGTCACACACCACCTCGTCACACACACACACCTCGTCACACACACACACACACCACCTCGTCACACACACACACACCACCTCGTCACACACACATACACCACCTCGTCACACACACACACCACCTCGTCACACACACCACCTCGTCACACACACACCACCTCGTCACACACACACCACCTCGTCACACACACACCACCTCGTCACACACACACCTCGTCACACACCACCTCGTCACACACACACACACCTCGTCACACACACACACCTCGTCACACACACACACCACCTCGTCACACACACACCACCTCGTCACACACACACACCACCTCGTCACGCACACACACCACCTCGTCACACACACACACCACCTCGTCACACACACACACCACCTCGTCACACACACCACCTCGTCACACACACACCTCGTCACACACCACCTCGTCACACACACACACACCTCGTCACACACACACACACACCACCTCGTCACACACACACCACCTCGTCACACACCCACACACCACCTCGTCACACACCACCTCGTAACACACACACACCACCTCATCACACACACACACCACCTCGTCACACACACACCACCTCGTCACACACCACCTCATCACACACACCACCTCGTCACACACCCACACACCACCTCGTCACAAACACACCACCTCGTCACAAACACACACACACACACCACCACCTCGTCACACACACCACCTCGTCATACACCACCTCGTCATACCCCACCTCGTCACACACACACAACCTCGTCACACACCACCTCGTCACACACACACACCACCTCGTCACACACCACCTCGTCACAAACACACACACCACCTCGTCACACACCACCTCGTCACACACACACACCACCTCGTCACACACCACCTCGTCACACACCACCTCGTCACACACACACCACCTCGTCACACACACACCACCTCGTCACACACACCACCTCGTCACACACCACCTCGTCACACACACACCACCTCGTCACACACACACCACCTCGTCACACACCACCTCATAACACACGCGCACACACACCACCTCGTCACGCACACACCACCTCGTCACACACCACCTCGTCACACACACACACCACCTCGTCACACACACACCACCTCGTCACACGCACACCACCTCGTCACACACCCACACACCACCTCGTCACGCGCACACACACTACCTCGTCACACACACCACCTCGTTACACACAGACACCATCTCGTCACATACCACCTCGTAACACACGCACACACACACACCACCTCGTCACGCGCACACACCACCTCGTCACACATACACCCCACCTCGTCACACACCACCTCGTCACACACCACCTCGTTACACACGCACCACCTCGTCACCTCTGGGCACATGTCTCACTGCACCTCTTCGCGCCTCTCTCATCACCGCCTCTTCGTAAACACCTCCACGTCCGCTAATGTCTCTCACCTCTTCGTAAACACCTCCACGTCCGCTAATGTCTCTCACCTCTTCGTAGACACCTCCACGTCCGCTAATGTCTCTCACCTCTTCGTAAACACCACGTCCGCTAATGTCTCTCTCACCTCTTTGTAAACACCTCCACGTCCGCTAATGTCTCTCACCTCTTCGTAAACACCTCCACGTCCGCTAATGTCTCTCACCTCTTCGTAAACACGTCCGCTAATGTCTCTCACCTCTTCGTAAACACCTCCACGTCCGCTAATGTCTCTCACCTCTTCGTAAACACCTGCACGTCCGCTAATGTCTCTCTCACCTCTTCGTAAACACCTCCACGTCCGCTAATGTCTCTCTCACCTCTTCGTAAACACCTCCACGTCCGCTAATGTCTCTCTCACCTCTTCGTAAACACCTCCACGTCCGCTAATGTCTCTCTCTCACCTCTTCGTAAACACCTCCACGTCCGCTAATGTCTCTCACCTCTTCGTAAACGCCTCCACGTCCGCTAATGTCTCTCTCTCACCTCTTCGTAAACACCTCCACGTCCGCTAATGTCTCTCACCTCTTTGTAAACACCTCCACGTCCGCTAATGTCTCTCACCTCTTTGTAAACACCTCCACGTCCGCTAATGTCTCTCACCTCTTCGTAAACACCTCCACTAATGTCTCTCACCTCTTCGTAGACACCTCCACGTCCGCTAATGTCTCTCACCTCTTCGTAGACACCTCCACATCCGCTAATGTCTCTCACCTCTTCTTAAACACGTCTGCTAATGTCTCTCACCTCTTTGTAAACACCGCCACGTCCGCTAATGTCTCTCACCTCTTCGTAAACACCTCCACGTCCGCTAATGTCTCTCACCTCTTCATAAACACCACGTCCGCTAATGTCTCTCTCACCTCTTCGTAAACACCTCCACGTCCGCTAATGTCTCTCACCTCTTTCTAAACACCTCCACGTCCGCTAATGTCTCTCACCTCTTTGTAAACACCTCCACTAATGTCTCTCACCTCTTTGTAAACACCTCCATGTCCGCTAATGTCTCTCACCTCTTCGTAAACACCTCCACGTCCGCTAATGTCTCTCTCTCACCTCTTCGTAAACACCTCCACGGCCGCTAATGTCTCTCACCTCTTTGTAAACACCTCCACGTCCGCTAATGTCTCTCACCTATTTGTAAACACCTCCACGTCCGCTAATGTCTCTCACCTCTTCGTAAACACCTCCACGTCCGCTAATGTCTCTCACCTCTTTGTAAACAGCTCCACGTCCGCTAATGTCTCTCACCTCTTCGTAAACACCTCCACGTCCGCTAATGTCTCTCACCTCTTCGTAAACACCTCCACGTCCGCTAATGTCTCTCTCACCTCTTCGTAAACACCTCCACGTCCGCTAATGTCTCTCACCTCTTCGTAAACGCCTCCACGTCCGCTAATGTGTCTCACCTCTTTGTAAACACCTCCACGTCCGCTAATGTCTCTCACCTCTTTGTAAACACCTCCACGTCCGCTAATGTCTCTCTCACCTCTTTGTAAACACCTCCACGTCCGCTAATGTCTCTCACCTCTTTGTAAACGCCTCCACGTCCGCTGATGTCTCTCACCTCTTTGTAAACACCTCCACGTCCGCTAATGTCTCTCACCTCTTCGTAAACACCTCCACGTTCGCTAATGTCTCTCACCTCTTTGTAAACACCTCCACGTCCGCTAATGTCTCTCACCTCTTCGTAAACACCTCCACGTCCGCTAATGTCTCTCTCTCACCTCTTCGTAAACACCTCCACGGCCGCTAATGTCTCTCACCTCTTTGTAAACACCTCCACGTCCGCTAATGTCTCTCACCTCTTTGTAAACACCTCCACGTCCGCTAATGTCTCTCACCTCTTCGTAAACACCTCCACGTCCGCTAATGTCTCTCACCTCTTTGTAAACAGCTCCACGTCCGCTAATGTCTCTCACCTCTTCGTAAACACCTCCACGTCCGCTAATGTCTCTCACCTCTTCGTAAACACGTCCGCTAATGTCTCTCACCTCTTCGTAAACAGCTCCACGTCCGCTAATGTCTTTCTCCTCTTTGTAAACACCTCCACGTCCGCTAATGTCTCTCACCTCTTCGTAAACACCTCCATGTCTCCTAACACGGCGACGGCGGAAGAGGTTGGGGTTAGGTTGGGGTGAGGTTGGGGTCAGGTTGGGGTGAGATTGGGGTCAGGTTGGGGTCATGTTGGGGTCAGGTTGGGGTGAGGTTAGGGTCATGTTGGGGTCAGGTTGGGGTAAGGTTGGGGTCATGTTGGGGTCAGGTTGGGGTCAGACTGGGGTCAGGTTGGGGTCATGTTGGGGTCAGGTTGGGGTCAGGTTGGGGTGAGGTTGGGGTCAGACTGGGGTGAGGTTGGGGTGAGGTTGGGGTCATGTTGGGGTCAGATTGGGGTCAGGTTGGGGTCATGTTGAGGTCAGATTGGGGTCAGGTTGGGGTGAGGTTGGGGTGAGGTTGGGGTCAGGTTGGGGTCAGGTTGGGGTCAGGTTGGGGTGAGGTTGGGGTCATGTTGGGGTCAGGTTGGGGTCAAACTGGGGTCAGGTTGGGGTCACGTTGGGGTCAGGTTGGGGTCAGGTTGGAGTGAGGTTGGGGTCAGACTGGGGTGAGGTTGGGGTCATGTTGGGGTCAGATTGGGGTCATGTTGAGGTCAGATTGGGGTCAGGTTGGGGTGAGGTTGGGGTCAGGTTGGGGTCAGGTTGGGCTCAGGTTGGGGTGAGGTTGGGGTCAGACTGGGGTGAGGTTGGGGTCATGTTGGTGTCAGGTTGGGGTCATGTTGAGGTCAGGTTGGGGTCAGGTTGGGCTCAGGTTGTGGTGAGGTTGGGGTCAGACTGGGGTGAGGTTGGGGTCATGTTGGGGTCAGATTGGGGTCAGGTTGGGGTCATGTTGAGGTCAGATTGGGGTCAGGTTGGGGTGAGGTTGGGGTCAGGTTGGGCTCAGGTTGGGGTGAGGTTGGGGTCAGACTGGGGTGAGGTTGGGGTCATGTTGGGGTCAGATTGGGGTCAGGTTGGGGTCATGTTGAGGTCAGATTGGGGTCAGGTTGGGGTCAGGTTGGGGTGAGGTTGGGGTCATGTTGGGATCAGATTGGGGTCAGGTTGGGGTCATGTTGGGGTCATGTTGGGGTCATGTTGGGGTCATGTTGGGGTCACCCCCCTCCTCCTCTCGCCTTTGCAGGCGTCCTGGGCGAGCCTGTGGAGGTGGTGCAGCGGGCGGTGGAGGGGCTGATGTACCTCCTGGCCGAAGCCTCCAGAATGGAGGTGTGGATGTTGGTGGGCGCCGTGGCCACCAACAACAACGTCAACAACAACAACAACAGCATCGTTGTCATCGTCGCCACCCCCTACAACAACAACAACATAGTCATCATCATCATCGCCACCCCCACCACCAACAACAACATAGTCATCATCATCATCGTCGCCACCCCCAACAACAACAACGTCAACAACAACATCGTTGTCATCGTCGCCACCACCACCACCAACAACAACATAGTCATCATCATCGTCGCCACCCCCACCAACAACAACGTCAACAACAACAACAACAACGACAACAACGTCAACAACAACAACGTTGTCATCGCCGCCACCGCCGCCACTAAAAACAACAACATCGTCGTCGTCGTCATCGCCACCACCACCATCAACAACAACAATCACTGTCAACGTCACCACCATCGTCGTCACGATCATCACCATCATCATCACCATCACAACCATCATCTACAGCAGCATCATCATCACCATCACAACCATCATCACAATCATCATCTACAGCAGCATCATCACCATCACAATCATCATCTACAGCAGCATCATCACCATCACAATCATCATCTACAGCAACATCATCACCATCACAACCATCATCTACAGCAGCAGCATCATCACCATCACAACCATCATCTACAGCAGCATTATCACCATCACAATCATCGTCTACAGCAGCATCATCACAATCATCATCTACAGCAGCATCATCACCATCACAATCATCATCTACAGCATCATCATCACCATCACAACCATCATCTACAGCAGCATCATCACCATCACAATCATCATCTACAGCAGCATCATCACCATCACAATCATCATCTACAGCAGCATCATCACCATCACAACCATCATCTACAGCAGCATCATCACCATCACAATCATCATCTACAGCAGCATCATCACCATCACAACCATCATCTACAGTAACATCACAATCATCATCTACAGCAGCAGCATCATCACCATCACAATCATCATCTACAGCAGCAGCATCACCATCACAACCATCATCTACAGCAGCATTATCACCATCACAATCATCGTCTACAGCAGCATCATCACAATCATCATCTACAGCAGCATCATCACCATCACAATCATCATCTACAGCATCATCATCACCATCACAATCATCATCTACAGCAGCATCATCACCATCACAACCATCATCTACAGCAGCATCATCACCATCACAATCATCATCTACAGCAGCAGCATCACCATCACAATCATCATCTACAGCAGCATCATCACCATCACAACCATCATCTACAGCAGCATCATCACAACCATCATCTACAGCAGCATCATCACCATCACAACCATCATCTACAGCAGCATCATCACCATCACAACCATCATCTACAGCAGCAGCATCATCACCATCACAACCATCATCTACAGTAACATCACCATCACAATCATCTACAGCAGCATCATCACCATCACAACCATCATCTACAGCAGCAGCATCATCACCATCACAATCATCATCTACAGCATCATCATCACCATCACAACCATCATCTACAGCAGCAGCAGCAGCATCATCACCATCACAATCATCATCTACAGCAGCAGCATCATCACCATCACAACCATAATCTACAGCAGCATCATCACCATCACAACCATCATCTACAGCAGCATCATCACCATCACAACCATCATCTACAGCATCATCACCATCACAACCATCATCTACAGCAGCATCATCATCACCATCACAATCATCATCTACAGCAGCAGCATCACCATCACAACCATCATCTACAGCATCATCATCACCATCACAACCATCATCTACAGCAGCATCATCACCATCACACCCATCATCTACAGCATCATCATCACCATCACAACCATCATCTACAGCATCATCACCATCACAACCATCATCTACAGCAGCAGCATCATCACCATCACAATCATCATCTACAGCAGCATCATCACCATCACAACCATCATCTACAGCAGCAGCATCATCACCATCACAACCATCATCTACAGCAGCAGCAGCATCATCACCATCACAATCATCATCTACAGCAGCAGCATCATCACCATCACAACCATAATCTACAGCAGCATCATCACCATCACAACCATCATCTACAGCAGCATCATCACCATCACAACCATCATCTACAGCATCATCACCATCACAACAATCATCTACAGCAGCATCATCACCATCACAACCATCATCTACAGCATCATCATCCCCATCACAACCATCATCTACAGCAGCAGCATCATCACCATCACAACCATCATCTACAGCAGCAGCATCATCCCCATCACAACCATCATCTACAGCAGCAGCATCACCATCATAACCATCATCTACAGCATCATCATCATCACCATCACAACCATCATCTACAGCATCATCATCATCACCATCACAACCATCATCTACAGCATCATCATCATCACCATCACAATCATCATCTACAGCAGCATCATCACCATCACAACCATCACCTACAGCATCATCACCATCACAACCATGATCTACAGCAGCAGCATCACCATCACAACCATCATCTACAGCATCATCATCATCACCATCACAACCATCATCTACAGCATCATCATCATCACCATCACAATCATCATCTACAGCAGCATCATCACCATCACAACCATCACCTACAGCATCATCACCATCACAACCATGATCTACAGCAGCATCATCACCATCACAACCATCATCTACAGCATCATCATCATCACCATCACAACCATCATCTACAGCATCATCATCATCACCATCACAACCATCATCTACAGCAGCGTGTAGGTCGACTGGCTGATTTGGTGACTGAGTGAGCGCGTGACTGACTGGGCGGGCAGGGCAACTGGCTGATTGGGCGAATGAACGAGCGAGCGAGCGGGCGGGCGGGCGGGTGACTACCGGAACGAATTGGCTCCTGATTTTGGACCACCGATCAACAACCATCGCCCCCCCCCCCACCCTCCCACCACCCTCCCACCACCCTCCCCCCAAGGTGTCGGCGGAGGTGTTCTCGGCGTGGCTCAACGAGCTGGAGCTGCCGGGCAGCGTGGGGGCCCAGCTGGGCCAGGTGTACGCCCAGGGTAAGGCCGAGGTGCGTGGCCTCCTGGGGCACCTGGGACCGGCGTCCGACCGCTACCACGACCTGGAGTGGAGGCTCGACGTGCAGGTGACGTCGCGGGGCGGGTGAAGGGGTCGCCCGCCCCGCCCACGTACACACGCAGACGCGCGTACACGCGCAGACGCGCGTACACGCGCATGCAGACACGCAGGCACGTACACACGTACACACGTACGTACACACGCACGCACACACGCATGCACGCATGTACACACATACACACACGTACGTATACATACACACGTACACACGTACGTACACACACATACACACACACGTACACACGTACACACACACATACACACGTACACACACTTACACACACGTACGTACACACATACACACACGTACAGACAAGAACAACAACAACAACCGCCATTCGCCACTAAGTGGCGGTGACGTCACCACGATGCTTGTGCCAGGCTATGTGCACCCTGAAGCCACGTGAAGTGTCGAATGCCCGCTGGCAGGAGGTCACGGGGCAGACCCAGGTGCCACGGGTCGACTGACTGAGATGACTGTCTGATGCACCACCTGTGCCCCCTACTGTGCCAACCTGCTGTGCTTTAGCCACCCGGCGCTCCGCTCGCGTCGCTCCTCCGCCCTCCGTTGTTGTTGGAAGGCGACTGCCTCCAACTGCCCAGTAGCGTCCTTCACGAGCCTCCTCCACAGAGGCCGATCTTGACACCGCTGGTACCAGTCATCGGCAAGTCCACTCAGCTCCACGTCCTCCTGTACCACATGACTCCATCTCTTCTCTAGCCCGTGCCGCGCCCGTTTAGCCCCCTCAATCCGGCCAAACAAAAGCTGTTTTGGCATGCGGTGGCTGGGCATGCGGGCTACATGACCCAGCCATCGCAGCCTTGCCCGCCGGAGGAGCTCACCGATGGGACCTTGCCCAGATCTTTCAAGGATTTGTGAGCTCCTCACATAATCCAGTCTGGTTAAACCCAGGATGGATCGTAGGCAGGCCAGCCTAAATGTTTCTAACCGGCGAAGATGTTCTATTAGGGGGGTCCACGTTTCGCAAGCGTAGAGAGGAGGGACTGAAAGGGAGGGACTGACCGTGGCCGAGAAGACCTGAAGCTTAGTGCGGAGCGACAGACCAGAAAGCTTCCACACAGCGTTACGCAACCGATGAAAAGATATTGCCGCTCGACTGATTCGGAGTGAGATCTCTGCTGTTAAACTGGAGCCGGTCATAAGCACACTGCCCAGGTATGGGAAACTCTCCACTCGCTCCACAACTGCCCCATCACCGATTGGGAGTTGTGGGGGTGTAGTGTCCGATGGTACAAAATACCCAGGCAGGTGCTTAGTTTTGGTGGGGCTGATGGTAAGGCCCCACATCTTAGTGGCACGCTCCAGTCTCAGCAGCAGCGTCTCCAACTCCTCCTCTGAGTGAGCAGCTATTAGCAAATCATCAGCATACATAACGTGGTTGAGCAATAGGGAGCCATCCTTTGACCGCACCCGGGCATCGATCAGCCTCCCATTATATCCTGTACAATATGGAGATTCCCCCGGTACAGCTATTGAAGGCTTCACGAACTACGTGGTCAAAATAGATGTTAAATAATGTGGGAGCCAGAAGACATCCCTATCGCACCCCAAGGTGTACAGGGAATGGCTCTGACTCCCGACCACGTAGTTTTACCCGGGCCCGCTCACCATCATGAAGGTCCTTAATGATCGTGAGCAGAGGGTCAGGTACTCCAAAAGCACGAAGAACAACCCAGAGCCCAGGCCTACTGATGGTATCATAGGCCTTGACCAGGTCAATAAAGCAGAGATGTAGGTCTTGTTGGAATTCCCTACACCTCTGCTGTAGCAGACGGACAGAAAATATGGCATCTGTGCAGGACCGCCCTTTCCTGAAACCGCATTGGGGCTCCGCAAGCCTCTCCTCAGCGTGCCTGGCAAGGCGATGCTGAATAATCCTTGCCAGGACCTTTCCCGGCACACTGAGGAGTGAAATGCCCCTGTAGTTGTTACAGTCTGTGCGGTCCCCCTTCTTAAAAAGGGGGACCACCAGGGCATCCTTCCAATCCTGCAGAACACGTCCAGTGGTCCAGACTGTTGTTATGATGTCATATAGGGCGGTCTGTGCACAAACGCCACCCTCCCTCAGCATTTCGCTTGGGAGATCATCTCTGCCCGCTGCCTTTCCTGCTCTCAGACTCCGGATCGCCTTCAGTACTTCCTCAACAGATGGCACCTTAGCCAGCCACTCACAGGGGGTGACTTTTTCCAATATTTGAGGCACCGCAGCCTCAGCAGGGTCATCCTCACTTTGTGCCACGATGTTTTCCTGGCTGAGGGATTTTCCCTCCCCCAGGACCTCACAGAAATGCTCAGCAAATCTGCGAACCTGTTCCTGGGGGTCGGAGATTGGATCACCGTATTTTCTCCTAATGATGGTAATAGGTGTGGCGCTGCATGTTACTTTTTTGATGGAGTTAAATAGAGATTTGTGATCACGGGCCACTGAGGCAGACTCCATCTCCTCAGCAACCCACGACCACCACCCATCCTTGCAGTGCCTCACGGCTCTCCGAACCTCCGAGCGAAGGCTGCGGTAAGCCTCCTCATTCTCTGACGTGGGATTCTGTAGCCGATGACAGTGGGCCTGTCGCTTTTTCTCAACCATCCTGAACACCTCCTCTGTCAGCCAGGGTCTCTGGGGAGGTCTGGACCGCGTACCCAAAGCAGCCATTGCAGCTGCATGAGTCACAGTCCTAAACCTCGCCCATTTACCCTCGACATCAGGAGGAGTCGGGGACGATGCCAATCCCAGCCGCAAGCGATGATGAAATTCTCGCTTGCAACTTTCATCAGATAACTGAGACCAGGCCACTTTATGTTGGAATGGGGTCCTGGGTGTACACCCACCACCGGAGTGGAAGAATGGCAGGCGCATCTTACAGATGACTAGTCGATGGTCAGAGGGCAGATCAGCTCCACGGTAGGTCCTGGTGTCAAGGACATGGGCTCGCATTCGCTGGTCCGTCACTATGTAGTCCAGCAGATGTTCTTGCTTGGACCCGGCATGCATCCATGATGTTGTGTGGATGCGCCGATGCCGGAACAGCGTGTTGGTAATTACAAGCCCATGGGCTGCACAAAAATCTAGCAGCCTCCTACCGTTGTTATTGAGCTGATCTGGCCCATGCCCTCCAATCACTCCAGACCAGGTGCCAGTATCATGACCAACTCGGGCATTGAAGTCACCCAACATGATGACTCTATCCCGAGGGGCCACTTTAGCCAGCACCTGTGACAGGAGGTCATAGAAGGCATCTGACTCATCGGCTTTGCCTGCATCCCTCCACGGATGTTCATCTTCGGTGGGGGCATAAGTAACCATGCCCACCATTCCTCGCTTCCGGTTGATGGGAAGGCGAGCCCAAAGTAGCCTGGGGCTTACATCTTCCCACACCTCACCGCCACGCTCCCACGCCCCCTTCATTCTTTTGTTCAAAAGAAGACCCACACGCTGTTGTTTGGCAGTCTGCTGCCCCGAGTAGAGGACTGTCCACCCCTCATGGTGGCAGGAGCCAGAGCCGGTCCACCGGACCTCCTGAATGCCGCATAGATCCAGGCGGTACCGGTCCAGCTCCCGACAGAGGAGTGGCAGCCTCTCCTCTGCAGTGAGCGTTCGAACATTCCACGTGGCCACCCGTAGTGGCTTTTCGTTGTTTCTGGAGTAGCCCCGAGGGTAGGTATTCAATCACACACGTACGTACACACATACACATACACACATACACACACGTATGTACACACGCACGTACACACGCACGTACACACATACACACACACGTACACACATACACACGTACGTACACACATACACACGTACGTACACACATACACACACACACGCACACACACACACGTACACACACACACACGTACACACACACATACACACATACACACACACGTACACACACACGTACACACAAACACATACATACACACACACGTACACACGTACACACACACACATACACACACACACATGCACACACACACATACACACGCGTACACAAACACACACACATACACACACACACACGTACACACACACACACGTACGTACACACACACACACGTACGTACTCATACACACACGTACATACACATACACACGTACACATACACACACACATACACACACACATACACACACACGCACGTAACCCACGCGCACCGCACAGGTGGCGAGCCGCGCCGGCGGCCGGCAGCAGCAGCGGCGGCCGCTGCCGCGGGTCGCCCTGCGGCTGACGACGAGCGGCGGCCCCGGCGGCGTGGAGCCGCGTGCCGTCGCTATGGAGGTGGCCCCGGCCACGCTGCTCCACGCAGTCCGCTCGCTGGAGGCGGCCCTGGACGAGGGCCGCGACGTCCACGCTCGGCGCATCGCACGCAACGTCAAGTGACACGCTGGGCCGCGGCGGCGTCGCCGCCCACGTCGTCGTCGCCGCTGACGTCGTCGCTGACGTCATCGCCGCCGTCATCGCTGACGTCATCGCTGCCGTCGCCGCTGACGTCGTCGCCGCTGACGTCGTCGCCGCTGGGTGTCGTCGTCGTTGACGTCGCCGCTGACGTCATCGCTGACGTCGTCGCTGACGTCATCGCTGCCGTCATCGCTGACGTCATCGCTGCCGTCGCCGCTGACGTCGTCGCCGCTGACGTCGTCGCCGCCGGGTGTCGTCGTCGTTGACGTCGTCGCCGCTGACGTCATCGCTGACGTCATGGGCGTCGTCACCGCTGACGTCATCACTGACGTCGCCGCTGGGCGTCGCCGCTGACGTCATCGCTGACATCATGGGCATCGTCACCGCTGACGTCGCCGCCGACGTCATCGTTGACGGCGGCCGTCTACGTCGCCCCACCACCACCACTACCACCACCCCCCCACCACCACCATCCCCACCACCACCACCACCCCCCCCACCACCACCACCCCCCCACCAACCAGAGAGCCTTTGGCAACTTCACGCGACGGCCTCGGAGTGCACCTAGCCTGGCACGACGCCGCCGCTGCTGCTGCTGTTCCTGCTCCTCTTGTTACCGCACAGTTAAGATTTGGCGAACGTGGAAGGAGAATACAACAACAACAACAACTTTCCACCGGCGTGGTTGTCTTTCGTGTGTCTCGGTTGTGATTGTGGTTATTAGTATTGTTGTTGTTATTGTTGTTATTATTGTTATTGTTGTTGTTATTGTTGTTATTGTTGTTATTGTTGTTGTTGTTATTGTTGTTGTTGTTATTGTTGTTATTATTATTTTTATTGTTATTGTTATTGTTGTTATTGTTATTATTGTTGTTATTGTTGTTATTATTGTTGTTATTGTTGTTATTGTTATTATTGTTGTTATTGTTGTTATTGTTATTATTATTGTTGTTATTGTTATTATTGTTGTTATTGTTATTATTGTTGTTTGTTATTGTTGTTATTGTTGTTATTGTTATTATTGTTGTTATTGTTATTATTGTTGTTATTGTTGTTATTATTATTGTTATTGTTGTTGTTATTGTTATTATTATTGTTATTATTGTTATTGTTGTTATTCGCGCGTCGTAAGTAGGAGGTCGTGGGTTCAAACACCCGACCCTAACGATGCCTGCGTACCAGGCGAGGTAGTCAACATCTCCTAGCCACCGTGATGATGATGATGATGAGAGAGACGCAGACTCCACATATACAGCAGGCATCAGGATCGGGATGGAACCCACGACCTCCTGCGTACCAGGCGAGGTAGTCAACATCTCCTCGCCACCGTGATGATGATGAGAGAGAGACACAGACTCCACATATACAGCAGGCATCAGGGTCGGGATGGAACCCACGACCTCCTGCGTACCGGGCGAGGTAGTCAACATCTCCTAGCTACTGTGATGATGATAAGAGAGAGACATAGACTCCGCATATACAGCAGGCATCAGGGTCGGGATGGTACCCACGACGTCCTGCGTACCGGGCGAGGTAGTAAACATCTCCTAGCCACCGTGATGATGATGATGAGAGAGACGCAGACTCCACATATACAGCAGGCATCAGGGTCGGGATGGTACCCACGACCTCCTGCGTACCGGGCGAGGTAGTCAACATCTCCTAGCTACTGTGATGATGATAAGAGAGAGACATAGACTCCGCATATACAGCAGGCATCAGGGTCGGGATGGTACCCACGACGTCCTGCGTACCAGGCGAGGTAGTCAACATCTCCTCGCCACCGTGATGATGATGAGAGAGAGACGCAGACTCCACATATACAGCAGGCATCAGGGTCGGGATGGTACCCACGACGTCCTGCGGACCAGGCGAGGTAGTCAACATCTCCTAGCCACCGTGATGATGATGAGAGAGAGACGCAGACTCCACATATACAGCAGGCATCAGGATCGGGATCGAACCCACGACCTCTTGTAGACCAGGCGAGGTAGTCAACATCTCCTCGCCACCGTGATGATGATGATGAGAGACGCAGACTCCACATATACAGCAGGCATCAGGATCGGGATGGAACCCACGACCTCCTGCGTACCAGGCGAGGTAGTCAACATCTCATAGCCACCGTGATGATGATGAGAGAGAGACGCAGACTCCACATATACAGCAGGCATCAGGGTCGGGATGGAACCCACGACCTCCTGCGTACCAGGCGAGGTAGTCAACATCTCATAGCCACCGTGATGATGATGAGAGAGAGACGCAGACTCCGCATATACAGCAGGCATCAGGGTCGGGATGGTACCCACGACGTCCTGTGTACCAAGCGAGGTAGTCAACATCTAGCCACCGTGATGATGATGAGAGAGAGACGCAGACTCCGCATATACAGCAGGCATCAGGGTCGGGATGGAACCCACGACCTCCTGCGTACCGGGCGAGGTAGTCAACATCTCCTCGCCACCGTGATGATGATGAGAGAGAGACGCAGACTCCGCATATACAGCAGGCATCAGGGTCGGGATCGAACCCACGACTTCCTGTACACCAGGCGAGGTAGTCAACATCTCATCGCCACCGTGATGATGATGAGAGAGACGCAGACTCCACATATACAGCAGGCATCAGGGTCGGGATCGAACCCACAACCTCCTGCGTACCGGGCGAGGTAGTCAACATCTCCTCGCCACCGTGATGATTATGAGAGGGAGACATAGACTCCGCATATACAGCAGGCATCAGGGTCGGGATGGTACCCACGACGTCCTGCGTACCAGGCGAGGTAGTCAACATCTCCTCGCCACCGTGATGATTATGAGAGGGAGACATAGACTCCGCATATACAGCAGGCATCAGGGTCGGGATCGAACCCACGACTTCCTGTACACCAGGCGAGGTAGTCAACATCTCATCGCCACCGTGATGATGATGATGAGAGAGACGCAGACTCCACATATACAGCAGGCATCAGGGTCGGGATGGTACCCACGACGTCCTGCGTACCAGGCGAGGTAGTCAACATCTCCTCGCCACCGTGATGATTATGAGAGGGAGACATAGACTCCGCATATACAGCAGGCATCAGGGTCGGGATCGAACCCACGACTTCCTGTACACCAGGCGAGGTAGTCAACATCTCCTCGCCACCGTGATGATTATGATGAGAGAGACGCAGACTCCACATATACAGCAGGCATCAGGGTCGGGATGGAACCCACGACCTCCTGCGTACCAGGCGAGGTAGTCAACATCTCCTCGCCACCGTGATGATTATGAGAGGGAGACATAGACTCCGCATATACAGCAGGCATCAGGGTCGGGATGGAACCCACGACCTCCTGCGTACCAGGCGAGGTAGTCAACATCTCCTAGCCACCGTGATGATGATGATGATGAGAGAGACGCAGACTCCACATATACAGCAGGCACCAGGATCCGGATGGAACCCACGACCTCCTGCGTACCAGGCGAGGTAGTCAACATCTCATCGCCACCGTGATGATGATGAGAGAGAGACGCAGACTCCACATATACAGCAGGCATCATGGTCGGGATCGAACCCACGACTTCCTGCGTACCGGGCGAGGTAGTCAACATCTCCTCGCCACCGTGATGATTATGAGAGGGAGACATAGACTCCGCATATACAGCAGGCATCAGGGTCGGGATGGAACCCACGACCTCCTGCGTACCCGGCGAGGTAGTCAACATCTCGACCCTGATTGACCCCACCCCTGCCACCCCCTGGAGCTCCCACGTGACACGCAGGGTCCGGTGCGGGCACGCGCTGCGTGCGTCACGCGCCGTGAGTCGGCACATTCCTTTTGTGACGCAACAGCCCTCCCCCCTCACCCCGTTTGTGACGGGCGATCGAGTGGGGTGGTGGTGGTGGTGATGGGGTAATCGGTGGTGGTGGTGGTGGAGATTGGGTAATCGGGTCAAAGGAGGTGGGTGATGGTGGATGGGTTGATGGTGAGTGGTGGTGGGCAATGGGGGGAGGTGGGGGGGGGAAAGGTGGGTGGATGGTGAGTGGTGGTGGGAAATGGGGGGAGGTGGGGGGGTGGTGAGTGGGTGGTGAGTGGTGGTGGGTAGTGGATGGTGAGTGGTGGATAGTGAGTGGTGGTGGTGGATGGTGGTGGGTGGGTGGTGGATGGTGGTGGGTGGGTGGTGGGTGGATGGTGGTGGATGGTGGTGGGTGGTGGGTGGTGGATGGTGGTGGGTGGTGGATGGTGGTGGGTGATGATGGTGGGTAGGTGGTGGTGGTGGATGGTGGTGGATGGTGGTGGGTGATGATGGTGGGTGGGTGGTGGGTGGTGGATGGTGGTGGGTGGGTGGATGGCGGTGGGTGGGTAGTGGATGACGCGGTTCTAATTAATCAAATTTCCACGTGAGAATTACGACCCTCCCCAAATGCCTCCTCTCTCTCTCTCTGTATCTCTCTCCTACAATCGAGGCTCCCATGCTGCCTCACAGATCCCGCTCAATGTCACTATCTGTGTCGTCAAACCCCGCCCGCCACCACCCGACGCGGACACCCGGTGACCGGTTTTGAACCTCGGCGAGCACCCGAACCGGTTTGTGCGTCGGAGCGACGCTCGCGTGAACCCTCGAGGCCCTCTTCGTCACTGCAGGAATCCATCGGCAAAGTCGTCACGTGGGTAGGGGAAATTAAACAGGCAGCTTGACGTTTCGATCGCAACGCAGGCGACCGCCATCAAAGCGAGACAAACGCACAACAGGTGAAACTGCTGCCGGCAGTCACTCGCGCGACTGCGGTGATTTCGCATTCTTGGTTGTATCGAGTAAAAGCCGTCACGTAGTTAAGAAAATGCTAAGAATTAAATGAAATATATTTTTTTGAAATAATAATAATGATCATACAAATTTCGATTGAAAGCTTTCGTGACTGCAAGGATTCATCTTCTTCTTTGGTTCTTTCGGTAAAGTCACCACGTAGAGTGAGAATAAAAAATAATAAATTGATAAAATAAAATAACAATAATATTCTCACGACGTTTCGGCCACAACACAAGTGGCCTTCATCAGGTGACAAGTCCAGTCCCTTCACCTGATGAAGGCCGCTTGCGTTGTGGCCGAAACGTCGTGAGAATTTTAACGTGTTATTTTATTATTTTATTCTCATTCTACGTGGTGGTGACTTTACCGAAAGAACCAAAGAAGAATACTACAAATTATAAGGCGCCTGATGAAGACCGTTTGAGCTGTCTTAGAAACGCCGTGGGTGTTTTTTTTTGGCCTTTAAAATTTGTCGAATCGATTTTATATATATTTTTTACTTCGTTCAAGTTGGGTTTGACTTGATCTTCTTTGGTTCTTTCGGTAAAGTCACCACCCACGTAGAATGAGAATAAAATAATAAATTGATAAAATAAAATAGCGCGATAAAATTCTCACGACGTTTCGGCCACAACACAAGCGGCCTTCATCAGGTGAAGGGACGAGACTGTCTGGTAGGACAGCGCTGGAGCGAACACAGCCAAGCTCAGACCGCGACCTTTAAGCTGTGTGAGAAGAAACAGAGCGCCTTGACAAAGGAATTAGCATAGAATTTAGCATTGAAATAGCTGAGTGACTAGCTTGTGACTGGTCACAGAAATGGCCATGTTAAAGTCAAAGCATACACATCCACAGAGGCACCCCTTGACAAAGGAATTAG